TGTCTAACCCCGTGCACCCCATTCCCAGAACAAGAACCAACTTGATGAGAAATGGGAAGGTAAAGATGAAACCATCTCAGCCCTTTCGTCTGCCGTGCACAACGCCGCTTGATCTCAATGCGTGCCGTGTCATCACCATGATCGGTAAGATACTGAATGGTGATGCGCATGCCACGTCACTAGTAATTACAGCCTATACCTGAAAAGGTCAAGATTGTGAGAATCTTTTTCTACTTCACTTCAAACATCTTCCAGAATGAGCCAACCCCATGTAACAAGCTAGACACGACCCCTAGATTGACTCAAATAGGACATCCTTCATGATGCTGAGCGTCGTGCTCATTACCGCTGCTCAAGAATAAATTGCGCATTCTCTTTCAGAGCGGTTCATCACATGTACGGGGTGAATGGGATAGCTGCTGCAGTAGCGTGCCACTTTTTCAGCCCAAAAAAGTACAACAGGAACGGTGGGTAGGTGTAGCAGAGTGTCGTCTCCCAAGTCCGCCCACGCTCTCCTCAAGGTGTGCAGTCGCGTTGATACTAAAATCCCGTAGCGAGCACGTAATCAGAGGTAGACAACAATCAGATAATAAACGGCCCGGACAAGTAGAGCGTTGAGCTATCGTCAGTCGTAGGGCAGGTTTGTGTGGCAGCGCGGGCTTGGTCAGCAACGTCCCCTCATTTCGGCACACTTTCCAGTGACGAAAGAGGTACACTTACACCCATTAACCTCGCACATGACAAGAACTGGGATATCCGGAGGCGTGTGCAGAGCGTATCTTCAAAAAAGGCAACCAATGAATACTTCGAATGGCTCCAAGACAGGAGGACTGGCTGCCCTCCTGCGGCCATTTTTCCGTGTTTCGTGACTGTACTAACCCCATTTTCTATCAGAGAGCGGAGGGAGTGACAGAGATCATCGAGTTCTTCAAGCAGACAGTCAACATCGATCCTTGATGAGTGGTACTCTCCACAAATGGCGGTGGAAAGCGTAAATCTGCAGATGTGGCGGCTGTATATGAAACAACCTTTCACAGATACAGTGAGTTTCACTCATTAACTTCAAGCACCTCAAACAACGCAATAGTTGTAGTACGAGCTGTACCGATTATCACGGAATCCAGATAATGAACTGATGATTCACGAGTTTATGATTTCAGACACAGTTCAATGTTGGCTAACCGAAAACGTTCCGGGCGCTTGAGGGGCAGCCAGGTCGCAGAAGCTATGCCACTGCCCACTTGAGAATGCGGGATAAGGATTCGTTGGGGATTGTGTTTTGTTGCGGTCCACGCCCCCGCCCTCCCCCCCTCTCTAACAAACTGAAGATGCTCACATGAAGTACCGCTGAAATGTCGGTGTCCCTCTTTCGTGAGCTTTCTCGTCCAATTATTTCATCCAAAGCGGCAGAGAGAAGAGAGGCCTACATAGGTGGTTCCCCAGAATTTTTTTGCTATCTCCTTCTGTTACAACCCACAGATCTATATTTTTGGTATCCTCTTGAGTGGAAGGCCTCGAGATAATTGTGAGTTCAGCGGCTATCTCCGATCAACTCAGTATCGCCGCCGAAGTTTGTAATGTCAAAGTCGAATTCCTTGGTTGTCCATGCTGAGGCAGATGTTCTCAATCAAACTAAAAGGCGCAATACGTATGGTGCTCGGCAATTGAGAAGCAAAGTGGTTGTTCCGCTCATTTTTGATTAAGATGAATGGGATTTATTTATTTATTTATTTAGTACGCTGTTTAGACAACGCTCGCATAGATAAGGATAACAAAGCAAAGCGTATATTTTCAGTTTAACTATACTCTTCTATTTTCTGTTGGTATGCCAAATTCTCTAAGTGATCGAACGGTTATCGAGGAGGAAAGCGCTCTGTACGATGACATTCTGCAATTCGATTTCGACGATACTTATCGGAATCTGACATTGAAGGTACCCCTTTCGTACTCGTTCCTACGTTCTGATGGGACCTTCCTCTTGCTTTTGATTCCATCTCCACCTTGAGCAACTTAGCGCGCCGTGGGAAAACTTTCGTGGTGCCGCATTGAGGAGAGTCGCAAGGTTAGTTTGAACTAAAAGAAGCACTGAAAGATATAGAACTTATAAACCAAACGAACCACCGAGTCACGTTCGCTTGCAAGGGCGAGTGCATTTACGGTCTTATGCTGGCACCTTTCAGCCATCCGCGCAAGCAGCAAGCAGTGCATTGCTTGGACCCCGCAAAGAAAAAAAAAATCAACCGATGATGAGCAATTTAGTGCAGAGGAAAATAGAAGATTGGGCCAATCAAAAGGAGTACAATTGGATCTCGGAGATCTAGATCCATTCGTCAATCAAAACAAAATCGGTCGTAGAATATGCGTTTTCAATAAAATGCACCGGCAGCACTCGAACCTGCCATAGGTGCACTGTACTTCTTTCGCCGAATAACAGCCTAAGAACCTGGCGGTGAAAGCCAGCCGCTGACGACTATAACAGACTTACAGTAGGAGAAGCTGACTTAAATATTGGTTAGCTGTGTCAAAACTCTTTAGCAGCTGGATGTTATAGCACTTGGCCGAGCTACGTTATCTGCACGTCTGTGACGAAAACGTGGTGATACTCAAAATGGACGACGATGTTGGTTGGGATGTTCAACGTGTTTCCGAGTTCGTGAGGAATAACCTAACTTCACACGAACTCTACTGTTCTCGGTAAGTAGTTCTTGATAAGCTCCTATTTGCTTCTCATGTAACAGGCATGATGGTTGGTTGTACACCTCGCCCACCACGAACGTGGACTACGTACTACAAGGTGAAGGGCCTGTATGGTGGCCATGAACTGGGGCACGTGCTATGTAAGGATTTACGATGGTTTTTCTCTTCTGATCATGAGACCCCCACATTTGTTCCAGGTACTCTGACAAATAGTAAACTTGAAGTGGCGTAGTTAGGCTCATTGAAGGGGGAAAGAAGGAAGGAAATCCTTGTAGAACATTCTCTGAGAATCTCTTCTCTCGAGTTGGAGTCTCCTTGGTAGGCTATAGGGTATAACATTGTTATAATCGCAGGGCTAAAGTTCCTCGAAAGTTTCGGCGATCAGCTTAGAAGATCGGTAGGACAGAAAGAGCTGTCTGTGCTGCCGTGTTGAGAGTAGCAATGTTCTTTTTTAACAGTTTCTCAAAATATTCACACGCCACAATGAAAGATCGCATACCGATTTTTTGAAGAGTATTTTCAGGCGTGCTGGTCATAAACCGTTTCGAAATCCGAAATCAAAATGGTGAGTTCCAATAATATACCATTTTACATGAAAGTTACGAGAAAAGGAAGGATTGACAAGCATCAAAGGGATATCGCTCTGATTTAAGGTGGGAAGCCTCCCTTTTCTAGCCTTCGTACGGTGCAGGAACATGAACACTTGACTGACCAAAAATATCATTCACCGAGCACTCCTGAATTAGGGAAAAAGCTAAACACTTGATCACATCGGAAATTGGAAAAGAATGAGCCTCTTGTCATAATTGACACCTAGCTGGCTTTCGCTCGAGAATGAGGGGGAAGCTCAAGAAGTAATTATAGGAGTAAGAAGCGGCACGATTTCCTGAAACTGCAATGTAAAGAGCCGTTGGAATCTCATTTAGTTCTTCAGGGTCGTAACGAAGGATGAGTGGAAAGAAACAGTCTATCCACCGCACTGTCTCGGATGGTTTTACTTGGTCCCCGTCTCAGTCGTGAGAAAGATGCTCAGCGTGATTTATCTCCAACGCTTCTCTGTGGGTAAACTATTTGTAGAGCTAACGGTGCTGACCTGCTTTCAGCAATCAAACACTTACCAAAACATTTCCTGATGAAAACACCCTTCAATTCTCTTTTTTTCAGATAGATGATATTTTTATTACTGGAGTTCTTCGCCAAGCAGCTAATGTCAGCATTACGAACATGGACACGATTTCTGGAAACGTACATTATCCAAAACCGCCCTATGGAAATGCTTTCTCACGGCAGAAGAAATTATGTCCGCCATTGGTCTTTGCTGCAAAACCGATGACAACTATCGTTAAAATAGAGCATTATCAAAAAGTAAGGCCAGAATATAAATTTTCATGAAAATCGCTCGAACATGAGCTGCCATTTTCCTCTCTTGTTTCACTTGAATATCCTGTGATGTGTCAAAGTTTCATGAAGAACTTTAGAGTTAACTTTTCGCGAATTTCGAGTTGAGATAACCATGTGTCGACACAGAAGTCGACTTGATCTATTCTTATTGTTGCACTATGTTATGTAGTATTTTATGTTTCATGTTTAGCATTTTCAGGACAGATTCGATTTGCGTTTTTCTCATGTAGAAGCTTTATGTTGACATTTATGCACTTATCAGCTTCATCAGCTCGAAGGAGCTGCGCAGGGGCGCACATAAAAGGGTCGGAGAAGCTGAGTCTGAGCCTAAGTGGTACGGCCCGATTACCAAGTGCTCAATAAAAGTTTCTGAACCCGGGTGGCACATCAGGGAACTCTACCATAGAAATCGCCGCATGGGGCATCGGCGAACGGATTCAGATCAATCCATCATCTCATTTCGTTTCAATTTTTTTACACAAGCTTCCTTTTGAAAGCTGAGTCATCACCACTTCCTTTCCTCTCTCACCATTCCACAAGTTCTTCGCTGCAAGCTTTATCTAAGGTTGCGATCTGTTGCCCATTATAGCATTCCCGTAAAAATGTCGTACCAGCTGCTCACGCTGAAGCGGTTGCTGACCAATTATTCAAAAAAGCTGACTACCGTAGTAGAAAAATTCAAAGGGGAACGTTTAATAATTTCTTCTGTGCGTACGAGGTTGGTAGGTGGAAACTTTATTGTGGCCTGACGTTTCGACTAGATCGTCTTCATCAGAGGCCTAAACGTGGCTCATGGTTTGCAACTGCTCTCTCTACACCGCCAAAGATCTCCCCTTCCCTAACGTTTCTGACAGGCTATTGAGAAAACTACCCGGAAATCCCGAATGAAAGAAGAGACTCACCCAGTCCACCACAGCGAAGCGGAAGTAACCGCTCAGTTAGTTGTTAGTATAACTAGTGGGACTTACTGTGCCAATCTTGTATAGTGATTATAGTCAGAAATGGCACGTCCCACCGCTCACATCTCGCAGTGCGACACATATGGCAAGAGGTCATTTGTTATGGATAAGCACTCATTGCGGTTGTTCATTCTAGGATTTCTTGCAGAAATCCAGAATGCTTCTAGCGCTTTTCTGGCAGAAATCTCAGTCTCGCATGCCAGGATCGTGCACTTCACATCAAACTCGTTTCCGCCGTGCTCCTCGATCAAATGCTTGCCGAGTGGTGTTCTTATATTACCACGCCTTTTGCCAGCAAGATGTTCTTTAATGCGTATTGCTAACGGTCTTCCAGTCTCCCCAATGTAGGTCGCGTTACATGCCAAACATTCAATTTGGTAAATCACACCACTTTTGGCGCAAATCTCCAGTTGAACCGTGTGGACAAGTAACGCAGTGTTCTGATATGCACTGCCTATCGTAGAGTCTGTTCCGTACCAGTTGGCGTTTGATTTTATTATTAGGAATACTGACTAATACAACATCATTGTCAAACTGTGGCGCGGAAAAAGACATCTTCTACCAAATTCGAATGTTTGCAGTATGTAAACGGCAACCTACATTGGGGAGACTGGGAGACCGTTAGCAATACGCATTAAAGAACATCTTGCTGGCAAAAGGCGTGGTAATACAAGAACACCACTCGGCAAGCATTTGATCGAGGAGCACGGCGGAAACGAGTTTGATGTGAAGTGCACGATCCTGGCATGCGAGACTGAGATTTCTGCCAGAAAAGCGCTAGAAGCATTCTGGATTTCTGCAAGAAATCCTAGAATGAACAACCGCAATGAGTGCTTATCCATAACAAATGACCTCTTGCCATATGTGTCGCACTGCGAGCTACTGATGTGGGACGGCCATTTTCTGACTATAATCACGTATACAGATTGCCACGGAGTAAGTCGCCACTAGTTATACTAACAAATCGAACTGAACGGGTACTGTCCGCGCTGTTGCGCGTGTGGTGGACTGGGTGGAAGTCTGTCTTCTGCGTCAGTTCGGATGTTACGAGTGTTTCTTCAATAGCCTTCAGAACGAGGAAGGGGAGATCTTGCGTGTAGAGTGATCAGTTGCAACGACCATGAGCCACGTTTAGGCCTCTGAAGACGATCTAGTCGAAACGTCAGGCCACAATAAAGTTTCCACCTACCAACCTCGTACGCACAGAAGAAATTATTAAACGTAACAACAATGCCGAGGTTTTACGAAGAGAGAAGAATTCAAAGGGGAACAGTTGGAACATCTTAGTCTACGCACAGCCGAACAAACAGCTGAAAAAATCGCAAAACTCGTAACGCGATACACCCTCCTGGATCGACTTTTCGAGGAACAAGTCGTGATTGGAAGGCTGAATTCCATCCATCGACATGCATGGCTCGATCGGAAACATCGGTTTGAAGTGGACTCAAGGAAAGTGCTCGATTGGGCGCAGTTAAGATCAGCCCTACTCAGGCGTCTCATTGAGGAGCTCGAGAAAGAGTTGAGGAAAACAGAGAACCGGTATGACAATGTCAGACCATAGAGAACCAGCACGCTTTCCAGAGGCACCAACTACCACAAGTGCTCCGAAAAGGCATGGCTGCCGAAAAGAAAACATCAGCCAAGGAGATAACCGAACTCCAGGAGAAAATGAAGAAACAGGAGGAAGAAATGGAGCTCCTGAAGCAGACGCTTCCTATCAATAAAAGCACAAACCGAAACTGCGAGCTCTACTGAGCTTACCGTGACCGTGGACCCAGCGGAAAAAACAAGGAGGACTGTGAGAAGTGAGGAAGTACCAGTAAATGATCAGGAGTACTTCGAGAAAATGGTCCGCGAAGTCCAAGGAGAGGAGGAACAACAGGGATCTGAGCGGGTTCACGAAGAAGTTGAGCAACAGGAAAATGAGCAAAAAGCACGGGAAACAAAACCTGTCGAAGAACTGCACGGACGTGGTCAGCAACTACAGCGCACACGTCGGCGTCAAGCGTCCTCTGGAGATCGGCGATTGGCTCACTATCCAGGTTCCACTAAACATCAACGACGAGTCCGTAGCCCTGAGAAATTCGATGATCTACGACGAGTCAGGCGTTCCGCCTCCTTTGAAGATAAAATCAGTGCGTTGTGAAACCAAGCTGATGAAGAGGAACAAATTCCTTCCCCTTCAGGAGTATCGGAGGACCCTCAAAACCGCCGGAAAATACGGGAAAATGGCGTTTTGCGACAGGTTTGGCAAGCACTTTTCGGGTTCGTGCCCCGGATGTTATCGATGGCGACCTCAGATACGAGATCGTTTCACGGAAAGGATTGTGCAAGCACTGCCTCGGCTCGTGCTTACCGCGTCAATGCAAGTTCAACCCCAGGAGTTGCTGGTACTGCGAGAAAATACGGGGCACGTGTGTTGAGGATCTGATACCGGAAGGGCATCATAGGGCACTTTGTCCTGTACCGGATGTGCGGGACGGATGTGAGAGATCGTCTAAATCGTCTTCAGGAAGAGCTGGAGCAGCTGACATGAAGGGGATGATCATCGCGCTGCCGGAGTGTCGACACGGAAGTCGACTTGATCTATTCTTATTGTTGTACTATGTTCATGTATTTTATGTTTCATTTATTTATCATTATTTTCAGGGCAGATTTGGTTTGCGCTTTTCTTATGTAGAAGCTTTATGTTGACATTTATGAGCTTATCAGCTTCATCAGCTCTGGGGCTGCGCAGGGGCGCATATAAGAGGGTCGGAGGAGCTGACGGGGCTGAGTCTGAGCCTGAGTGGTACGGTCGATTACAAGTGCGTCAATAAAGTTGGTTCTGAAACCCGCGTGGCACACCCAGGGAACTCTACCACAGAAATCGCCGCACCATGTGATCGACAAAGTAGATATTTAGGATTTTTTTCGTTTTCCTCGTTGGCTTCGTTCATTATGAATAAT